TAACATGGATGGGAATGTGCATACGTTCAAGGCATGACTAGTTGCGAAGGGCTTTACTCAAACCCCGGGGGTTGACTATTATGAGACCTTTTCACCAGTGCCAAGATCAAGTCTGTAAGGGTTATGTTGGCCATAGTTGCGTTTCATGATTATGAAATATGGCAGATGGGTGTTAAAACTAATTTCCTTAGTGGGATGTTGGCTAAAGATGTTTACATGTGTCGGCCAGAGGGTTTTGTAGATGCAAAGTACCCTAATAGAGTGTGCAATCTTGAGAAATTCATCTATGGATTAAAACAAGTGTCTCGCAAATGGAACCTTGTTTCGATGAGAAATTCAAAGATTTTAGTTTTTTGAGAAACGATGATGAGTCCTGTGTGTATGTCAAGGCTATTGGGAGTATAGTTAGCTTTCTAGTTTTGTATGCTGATGACTACTGCTCATAGGAAACGACATCCCGACCTTGTAGGAAGTTAAGTCCTGGCTTGGTAAGTGTTTCGCTATGAAGGATCTAGGGGAAGTTGCTTATATTTTGGGGATAAGGTTTTGGAGAAATAGGAGTAGAAGACTATTAGGACATAATCAGAGTACCTACTTGGACAAGGTGCTAAAATGTTTTAGCATAGAGAATTCCAAGAAAGGGGAATTGCCAATCCACAGTAATACCAAGTTGACTAAGACTCAGAGTCCCAGTACCGATACCGAGATAGTAGAAATGAGTCGAGTGTCATACGCTTCCATCGTTGGCTCGATCATGTACGCTATAACATGTACTCATCCTGATGTGGCTTTTGCGTTGAGTATGGTTAGCCGATATAAGGGAACTCGGGTAGAGCTTACTGGAAAGCAATGAAGAACATTCTTAAGTACCTGCGAAGAACAAAGGATTAGGTCCTTATACTTGGTGCGAGTGATGACTTGAGAGTGACAGAGTATAGTAACGCCAGCTTTCAGACCGACAAAGATAACTTCTACTCTCAATCAGGCTGGGTGTTTACCCTAAATGGAGGAGCAGTTACTTGAAAAAGTTCCAGGTAGAAGACCGTGGCTGATTCAACGTGCGAATCAGAGTACATAACAGTGAGCGAACCATCGAAGGAGGCAATATGGTTGAACAACTTCATTGTAGACCTTGGAGTTGTACTAGCCATTAAAGAACCTATGGAGATTTTGTGTGATAACGAAGGAGCAGTTGCCTTAACTAAGGAACCAAAGGGATCATGGCAGATCCCGACATATCAATAGAAAATATCACTTCATCAGACATTTGGTAGAAGAAGGACTCCTCGTAGTCAAGAGGGTATCGTCAAAGGAGAACCCAGCAGATCCCTTCACAAAGGGTCTGAGCGGGGTTAAGCACTTACAACATGCGAGGAGCATTGGTCTGAAGGACGATATTAGTTTTATTGATTAGATAGATGTTTACAAACTTGTAATTGATAAATGTAATTGACATTTGATGATTAAGTAATGTAGAATTATTTATGAGTAAAGTTTACTATCTTGTGTCAATTATTTACTATTGTTTCAATTTTTCATGTTTTACTTCCAAAATAAATAGATTGTTCAAATTATCCATAGTCGATCATACTTTGGGAGTAAGTTATGAGGATAGACTGTCATGAATTGGTTTGTAGATTGTCTAAGTGTTTAGGCATAGCAATGGTTTGCTGCCACGTTCATGAGTGCTCTTGAAATAAGATTTGAGTATTGGATTAAACACACGCTCATGTGATCACGTCATGGAATTTATCACGAGTGATTGTGAGATGATAATATTGTATGATCTTTAAACCGAGATATATGAGTTGTTGTTTACGAGTTGGTTATGCATTGATAATGTGTAAACGCATCAGTAACTTGATGTTATAAAACGTGTTGTTGTGTACAATTTGATGAGTAAATAGTACAAGCATATAAGTCAAAGTTTATCTGTTCATTTTATCCTAAGAGGGTAAAAGCGATATCTTGGGACCCTCGATGATTTTGTGTTGATTTATGTATTGGGCCCGGTCAAGACTGAATTAATGTGTTCCACTAAGTTCTGTGTCAAACAAATCAGAAGTCTGGAAACTAGTTATTGGACATTGAGAATGATTATGTTCCATGTCTTTTTCCACATGATATATTGTAGAACTGAGGATTATATGATCCCTTATCTAAAGGACGCATCATTGACTAGGTCATAGTTCGACAGCGGATTTTGAGAGCTATGATTGCTAATCGGATTTTGAAGTCATACTTGCAGTTATAGTTATTAGACTTATCCAAGGGAGAGACTATTGGATTAGGTGTCTAAGCCCATAACTATAATTGGTATGTACTTGACCCGATAGTAGCATGGTCCTTTTGGGTTGCCTTCACCATAGCAACTGTATAGAATAAGTTTTGGAGAAAGAGGTTATTTAAACGGTTTATTAATATATTATAGGAATAATATATTAATTGAGAAATCATATTATTTAATTAGTATTGATCGAAAATTAATTTGGAATTAACTTAGTCATCAAAATAGACTGATTAAAAAAATCAGGACCGATTATGTAAATCAGTGATAGTTATAATTTGGGCTAATGGATCCTATTGGTATAGGGTGGACGAAAATCTATGGGAAACCCATAGAGTTTTCGTCCAAGGCTTACCATGTGGGGCTCCATGTGTTGCTTAGGGCCTAAGAAAGGGAATTAGGGTTTCTAGTTGAAAACCCTAGCAGCCTCAACTATAAAAGGAACCCCCTAGCCTCATGAAATAGGCCACTACTTCCCTAGAAGAAACCCTAGCTGATTTTTTCCACTTCTCCTCCTCCTCCTCATTCTTTGCTTGTGGTGTTTGTGACTCCATTAGATGTGCAACACTTGAGACACTAAGGAAAGGATTGTTTGTTACTACTAGTTAATAAGAAAATGTATTTATCTAACTCTTGATTAATAGTTAAATCCGAAAAGTGTGCTAGTTTTGGGTTCTTGCTTTGGAAAATTGAATTGCATGTATAATTTGAGAAAAACCTAGATCTAATACAATTAGGGTTGCATGTACACCATAGGAATATTTTAATGCTCAAAACCCATCAATGTAATCCAAACATATAAGAACATGTGGTCCTTGGGTTCTTAGTGGACAGATATACAATGATTGTTTACAATTTTAAAATGTTTTTTACCAACGTACTATATGTAATGACATTAAGGGTTGCATAATTTCACCAAATTAAGGGTAATTAGCATCCTTATACATAATTAAGGGTAATGACAAGACAACAATACATTACGGTCACATCACACAACTACAAATTGTTCTTAATTCAACTACCCAAATACATTTGATTACAACTTAAAAATGATTAAACCCAAAAAAAAACAACTACAAAGTAAAACCAGCTTCAACTTCAACACTTTTGATTTCAGCTTCTTCTTAGACCTCATCAATACACTTAATATTATTTCTTCATTGTTGCATTTTATTTCATCAACCTGAGAAATGAAACCTAATCGGGCTCCCTAAATAAGAAGTTAAGGTTACATTTATAAAACAATTGTGAAACTTGGGTTCTAAAAATATGACTACATTTACCTTGTGTGGACATGCATAAAATGGTCTTCCAAGGTTATTGTCAATCTGAGATGTACAAATTACTGCTGGACTTCCACAACCACAAACAATCTTCATCTTGTCGAATTTTGTTGGATCTCACTCGGCTGATGATTTGAAGGACAAAAGAAAAAATGAATGAGGTACCCTTTTAAACGAGATAACCCTTTTTACAGTCGTTAGGAACATGAAAAGACAAATCTACCCTCACCGTGCAAGCCACGTGGGGTTCAACAACCCAACATATGTTTTGTTCTTCATTCTTGCATGATTTGTCAACCAATCAAAGTTTTCATAAGGTCAAACATCAAATTCAAAATGCATGAGAACAACTCAAGTCTTTATCCATTAAGAAGCTTAACAAAGGCAAAAAAAAATGTCTGTCATCAACACAAGACTTTTCACATAATCCATAGATAGCTAGCACAAATACACACACACACACACAAAAAAACACCCTAAAACTACTACATCTATAATATATATATATATATATATATATATATATATATATATATATAAATATATATATATATATACATATATACACACACACACACACACACACATATATATATATATATATATATATATATATACACACACACACATCGTATTGTACCCCCAACAACTTATCCAAGCTTCATAAGGACTTTGACCCCAACAACCATCATCTCAAGCATTGTCACCATAACATTGCCCATCACCATAGTAATCACTTTTAACTTCCTGTCATGATCTACCAACTTGTGTTGGAGACTAACGTAAACAACACGGGACACAATGAAACTTTTACCTCGCAAATCTTTGAGCCTCTACATCTTGATCTAGTTAGCAACAATCTTGTCTCCACAGTCGCAAACAATACTATGCAAGTTGTTAAGGTTGAGAAACTCCCATAAATTTATCAAATCAGGTAAAGAGGTGGTGGAGCTGATATTGAAAGTATTTAGAGTATTTAGGGTTTTGGTCAAATTCATGTTTGCCCAAATAAGGTAAACAAGTCTTCTGAATTTGCTAGGTTAACCCCCACATAGGTGTCTAATGGTGGTTTATGCACCCACCACCAACAATTCCTTGTCCTCTAAACCGACTAAGGTAAAAGACAAATCTACTCGATGCAGACTCACCCAAGATACTAATTCACCCCCATAGTTGGCACTCCATGCAGTAGTATTATCTTCAAATGTACATTAAAGTACCAAAATGACCGATCATTTACAATTACAAACCCTTTAAATTAAAATAAAAATAGTCACGAGAGACCCTTTAAACCAAAATATACAATGACAATTTTCCTAATAATTTTACATCTCAATAAATACTATTATAAGATTTATTGAAATAAAACATTACATTTAGAAAACCTCATTAATTCCAATCTTTTACATGAAAATTCAATAAGATTTTTTCTTGCAGAAAAAACAGAGTTTTGAAATAAATAAACCATTATGTACCTACTACATTTGTTTAGCACAAGTCTATCACATAACCAACATGACCTAACAACTTCATCTTGTTCAGTTGTTCATGCGTAATGAACTCAAAGTCAACAACCAATTAAAGAGAAAGCTATAACACTATAAATTCTTGACAAAAAGATAAATATATCGTCAAAACAAAACCCTGCAACAAGGATATAGAAATGCAACAAGAAGTTGCCAGATTCTAAAGCATAACCCAGGATTATATGACATGTACATCGATCCTACAAGACTAAAACTTCAAAAACAATAAACAAAAACCAATACCACATCAATCTTTTGCCACAAATTCCAGTCAAAAGTCAAACACATTGTCTAAATGGCTAACAAAAAAGAAAGAAAAAGAGAGAGGAGACTCATTCTTTTGTGGTTTTGTTGATGAGGGACTTGTGAATGTGAGGAATGACACCACCTCCAGCAATGGTCCCTTTGATAAGAGTATCAAGTTCTTCGTCTCCACGGATGGCTAACTGCAAATGGCGTGGTGTAATTCTTTTCACCTTCAAATCCTTGCTAGCATTTCCAGCTAATTCAAGCACCTCCGCAGTTAAGTACTCAAGAATGGCAGCAGAGTAAACAGCAGCAGTGGCTCCAACACGTCCATTTGCAGAAGTTCTAGTTTTCAAATGGCGGTGAATCCTCCCTACTGGAAACTGAATTCATCCCCACATTGATATTACAACACCAAAAGATACAACAGCAATTCAGGAAAATAGTTAGGGTTTGTGTCGAACCTGGAGGCCAGCTCTAGCAGATCGGGAGATCGGCCTCTTCTTATCTTTGTCCTTGTTAGCTGCTGCTGCCGCCGGTGTTTTTCCGGCCAATAAACCCTTCCCACCCTTTCCGGCCATCTCTCCCACTTACACAAACGCTTTAGAGAAAAATAAACAAAGAAAATGTTTATAAAACTTGACGAAAATTAAAGTTATGTTACTTTGATGAAATAGTCAAAGTATCTGCGTTACGATTGATGTGTAATTAAGGTTTACAGTAAGCCAACTGTAAAAATTCTGGATGGAACCCTAAATCGCAGATCTTAGTGGATAGTACTGCTAACTTACATAAAAAGATTGACATTGTAAACCGAAAAGGTTTTAATCTACTTGTCAAATCGAATCGTACACTAGGAATGTTGTTTAGAAGATTGTTACCTGGCGATATTGCAAGACGGGAGAACAATGGAACAAACGATAACTCGAAGAGAAGAAGGTAAAATGGAGGTATGGAGTTGTGTTGAAAGTATTTATGGCTCGTAAAACTTTAGCGGATTCGCAATTTCAATTCAAAGTTTTTGAGATCCAGCTTTTGGCGGCTAAACCTTGTGGTGGGAAATCGCTGATTCAAAATTTTCCTTTGAATTTGAAGTTTGAACAACATAATTCTATTCCTATGTGTCATCTCTCAAATCCCAATGGCTTGCCATTAAAATGAAGAATACAAATAGTCCATGTAGAAGCCCGCCACTCATATCACAACTTCACTCGTAGTCAACCACTAAACTAACTGGGCCTCGATTAAGATCCAAGCCTATTAAAATCACTCTCTGGTTTTTATACGTATGTTATATATAAAATTTATGGCAATCATCTGTATTTATAGTCACATCTAAACTCTTATTATCACTTATATTATATAACACCATCTCATATGAGAGGTTATGGGTTCAAGTCTCGATGGAGACATAGGTGGTTATTTAGGAGTAGATTAGTTAGTTTGCCATCTAAAAAAAACTTATAATATATAAATAAAAAATATATATTAATATAAATAATAGGTATAAATATTGATAAGAAAGTACACATGTAGACCATTGATCATAAATAATAATAACCCTAGTGAGGGACAAAATCAGGAATATTTGGAAATTTGGTTTTTTTATAGAAGCAATATATTTTTGAAAATATATTATTTTAAAAGTGATCAAAATATATTATTTTTCAGAAAAAAAAAAAAAAAAACATTTTTTAATCAGTGACGAATAGAGGATTCAAACCCATATGTGTCCGATTCAAATAAAATTCCTTATTTTAATAAAAGATTATCATTGAAAGTTTGAAACACATGGCGTTTGCTGAGTATTCTTCTAGCTTATTTTACGGCCTATTCTCTCAAAGTGAAGTTTCTAAAATGTCATTCTATTCTATTACTTTGAAATTGGGATTTCTTTTTGTTCATGTCTTAAATCTTTGCCAATTCAATCTTCATGTTTGTTATGTTGATCTCCTTAAATCTTGCCAATTCAATCAATCATACTCACAATCTCTATCCCCAATTCAACTTTTTCTTCAACCTCTCTCCCTCAATCAGAGAAGTGAAATTTGAATATCATTTTTGAAATCCCTACTTATTGACCCTTTTTTCCTTATTTCTTTTCTCTATTGAGTCAACTGGTTCGATGGTGAAATTGGGCTACAACAAGGGTGGTAAAAGAATGGTTTGAAAGTGGCAAGTGGGTTGTGGTGTTGGCGATGGTGATAGCACAGATGAGAACGTGAGGTATACAACTATTTTCAAATATAGGAGGTGGAAGGTGATGGTGCTCGACGTTTGGTAGTAGATGTGATATGTCACTGACCTAACTCCATCTTCCTGAGGGCGGGGATGAATAGCATGTGGATAACAACAAAGAATATAAGGCCGACAGTCGTCTTTCGGGAGGCTATCCCGAAACGAGGCTCCGACGATCAAGTCGATGAGGGTATGAGAGTGAGGGTTAAAAACGTAAAGAGAGAGTTGAAGTGTTAGAGATCTTGACCCCTTCTCTTGGGGGAGAAAGGGACCTTTTATACATGTGGCAATCGGGGGACAGATCCCCAATAGTACTTTTAACTTTTTTCAGGTTCTGCCAAAGCCAGGCAAACTCTGATTGGTGAGTTGTGTTCCGCAAGTGTGTGCCTACCGTTGGCATAGGTTTGCCAGGTGTGATGTTCTAGGGACCACACATGTCACCTTGCGAGTGGGTTGGTATTGTTTTGTCTCGACTCTGGCCTTGATGCTTGGACGTTAAGGAATAAGCACGGGAACGTGAGGACAGGAGCGAGCGCGAGGACCTGACGTTAGTTGTTCATCGTTAGGATTCGTTTGTCAGACTGACGACTCCATTGTATTTGACGGATTCCCGGTGGGGTACGTCAACAAGTCCCCCATGCTAGTAGACATCAGCGTTTGCTTAGGGCAACTCACGCGTCGGATGGGAGCGATACATTGTTTCCAACGTCAGAGTGTCATTTGTCGAAAGGGTGTCATTTCATTTTTTCTCTCTTTTCTTCTTTTTGAAATGTTTATAAAGGTCCCCTGCTCCTAGGAACGACTGTGCGTTTCTTCTCTCCATAATTTATCGTCTTAGCCTTCTTCGTCGTTTCTCTTTTCTCGTACATTTTTCCTTTCTGGTTTCCTATGGCTTCTAATAGATTTGAAATTGTCCTTACACCCGAGGAGTTCGAGTATCTTCAGTTCCGGTTTGGGTTTATGCCCGAGCATGGGGTCTAGTTCCCATCAGAGGGATTTACCGTATATCAACCGACGTCCGGGAATATCGGTATTCCGGTGATGATTTTTGAGGTCGGGTTCCATCTTCCCGTTTCCAACTTCTTCAATGAATTCATGTGGGAGTATGTTTTTACTGTTCACGATCTGAGCCTAAACGTCATGAAGAAGATAGTCGGGTTTGAGTTGGGGTTTCGGGGGTTGGGTGTAGTTCCTCATTTTCAAGCGCTCCAATCTTTCTTTAATTCGTCGGCTCATTCTGGCGTTCACATTTTTTCTCAGCGTTATAACACACATTCCTTTGTAGTTAACCATAAGGCACCAAGGAAAACTGGCATGATCGATGGCTATGGGTCAATAGTCATTTGGTTGGTGCAAGCTATCCTCGTGTAACCATGGCTTCGGACCGGGCGCCTCGACTGTTGGGTGTCAGTTTATCTGTGGCCCAGGCACTGAGAGGAATATTTTTTGACAGCGCGGACTGGTCGGACTGCATATTGGCAGCAGTTGGGATGAGAGCTACTTAGCGTTTGTGTAGGAAGATACCATAGTTTTTTGTGAGTAATGGTGGTAAGTGTTACCTTCCTCCCCCCCCCCCCCTCTCTTTGTCTGTCGCCATGTTTCTCCCTCTTTCTTTTTCATTTTCTATTTTAATGTGGGTCCTGTGTTGTGGTTGTTGTAGGTGACGAGAAGCTTTTGTCTCTCGAACAAGAATTACGGGACAATTTTGGGGGTCATCTCCAGTATCACAAGGTTCCCATGGTGGAGGCGTTACTTGCCCCGGCTACTGTCGGGCCTACTCCCGAATGCAAGGCCTTTCATGTTGTGGTGATAGCTGAGCCTGCCTCTTCGTGTAATGGATTGGATGTGCCTAACTTCCAGGTCATCTCCCATTGTCGGTCCGCTATTGCAGATTCTGCCTTTGGGGAGGATGTTGGTGGTGATATTATTGGCCGACGTGTACTCCGGAAACGCAACATCAAACCTTTTCTCGCTAAGTCACCCAATTGTAATTATCTTATAATTACAACTCCAGTCCCTGAGTTTAATTAATCTCTTTTAACCACAAAATTAATTCTTAATTAATTTTGACTAATATTAATTAAACATTATGATTTTCCTTTAATATATTATTCTTATAATATATTAATAAAGCATAATTAAACCTTTCATCCTACATATAATTCTATGTTGAAGGCAACCCAAAAGGACCATGCTCATAATCGGGTCAAGTACATACCAAAATAGTTATGGACTTAGACATTAATCCAACAGTTTTGTCCCGACTTCCTGCGCCAAGCGGAGGCCCTCAAGGATCGCTTTGTATTTGGCCTCGTTATTGGAAACTTGGAAATCAAATCTTAGGGCATAAGTTATCTCATCCCCCATGGGGTTTTTCAGAATCAGGCCCGCACCCGATCCCTGCTTACTTGCAACACCATCGGTGTGTAGTTCCCATACATCTTTGCTTGCTTCGGGCTCTAGTGGGTATACAGGTAAGGCCTTTGGTATACTGCTAAATGTTCCTGGTATATCTACCATGAAGTCTGCTAATGGGTCCGGAATGGCTATTTGATTACACATCACTCTTCAAGTCTATAAATGTGTCTTCGGATAGTTCATCTGGATCTTCCTTTGGTTCGAAGATTGTTTTTGAAGAAGAAGACGAAGAAGTCATTTACAGACCTCCAACGGTAACCTCTTCACCATCTGAGGGGGAGTCATCTGCTACACCTGAGGGGGAGTCATATGTTCCACTTGATAGTCCAAAGTGTCCAGTTCAATACATTACTCCAGATGCTGATGCTACACCTCTTACCCCTGTTGAAAGAGAGTTCATGTATAAAGATGCTTCCACTATCACTTTAACGTTTATGGAACTACTCTTTCCTGAAGAAATTGCAAACGAGTTTGTATCTGAATCATCTAATGTGGAGCAATCAACAAATGATGGAGGTGTCAACATTCGCAATCTTCCCGTCTCACTTAATGAAATTAGCCAGGAGATACCATCAAGAATTCAACGTGATCATCTGATCGAAAACATCATTGGTCAGCTGGGCGACGGTGTTAGAACCAGAAGACGGAATGGAGATGTCAACACATGTCTCTATTCTTGCTTTATCACTCAAATAGAGCCCAAGAATGTTGAAATGGCTTTGAATGTGCCCAGCTGGGTAGATGCTATGCATGAAGAGCTAAATCAATTTGAAAAGCTCGAGGTTTGGAAATTGGTTAAGTTACCAAAGGGCAAAAAGTCTCTTGACACACGTTGGGTCTATCGAAACAAGCAGGACGATTCGAGGGTTATAGTACGCAATAAAGCAAGATTGGTGGTTCGCGGGTTTCGACAATTCGAGGGTGTTGATTATACTGAAGTTTATGCTCCAGTGGCTCTCTTGGAGGCTATTTGTATCTTCCTTGCATATGCTTCCTACATGAACTTCACCGTTTATCAGATGGATATCAAGACAACTTTCTTGTATGGCAAAGTGAAGGAAGAGATCTATGTTGATCAACCCCCTGGGTTCGTTAACTTGAAGTTTCCTAACCATGTCTACAAGTTAAACAAGGCGTTGTGTGGATTACATCAAGCTCATCAGGCGTGGTATGTGACTCTCACAAAGCACTTGCTCGAGCATGGATATTCTCGTGGAAGTATCGATCAAACTTTGTTCATAAAGCATGTGGATAATGATCAGATTCTAGTTCAAATCTCTTTTGACGATATTATTTGTGGGTCAACCAATCCGCAACTTTGCAAAGAGTTTGATGGTGTAATGAAGAAGAGGTTTGAGATGAGTTCGTTGGGAGAAATGACCATGTTTCTACGGCTTCAGGTCAAACAAAGTTCGACCGGAATTCTGCTATATCAAGCTAAATATGTAGAGGATATTCTTGAGAAGTTCGGGTTTCAAGACGCTAAACCTTCATCGACACTGATGGCCGAAAGACCCTTGCTAAATCCAGATACTGATGGCGAATCCGTAGACCAGACTCTTTATAGATCGATGATCAGATCGTTGATGTGTCTCACTGCAAGTTGTCCAGACATCATGTTTGCAGTGTGTCAATGTTCATGTTATCAGACCAATCCTAAACTTTCACATCTTAGTGCTGTCAAAAGAATTTTTTGGTATATCAAATGCACCCCGAAATTGGGTATGTGGTATCCGAAAAATTCTGAATTTGATTTATATGCTTTTGCTGACAATAATACGAAGGTTGTGAGTTTGACATGAAATCTACATCAGGAGGGTGTCAATTTCTTGGAGATAGGCTGGTGTCATGACAGTGCAAGAAACAACATATCGTCTCAACCTCAACAGTACAAGCGGAATATGTTGTTGCATCTGCTTGTTGCTCTCAAGTTAGCTGGATCCAACATCAGTTGTTGGATTACAGTTTGAAATATCTCTAAACCCCTATTTACTGTGATAATGAGGATGCGATTCAAATTGCTAAAAATCATGTTCAACATTCTAAAACCAAGCACATTGACATCAATATTCATTTTATCAGAGATTGTTATGAGTGTTCGCTCATCCGGTTGGAACAGATTCCCACTGCTAATAATGTGGCGGATCTATTCACCAAGCTGTTTAACAAAGCTCGATTCGATGTGCTTGTGGGGTTTTTGAAAATGATTCGTTTTGAGGATTATTTTTTTTAATTTATTTTATTTTATTTTTATCTTATTTTATTTTAGGATAAATTAGTTTAAATTTGCGCATTGTTTTATTTCATTCTCACCCATGCACAAATTTAGAGGGAGAAATAAACAAAAACCAAACAAAAATTTTCAAAAATCCAAAAAAAAAAAAAATCAGAAAATCAAATATATGTTGCTAATTCTTTTGGTTGTAGGTGACGTGATGGGAGGTGATATTATCAAGTGATAACAGGCAATCTGGATCCGCGTAATGTACCAAAATTAAATTGTCTACGCTTAGGGGTGTAAGTGAGCCGAGCTACTCGAGATCGACTCGTTAAAAGCTCGACTCGAGATCGAATTAAACGAGCCCGAGCCGAGCTCGAGCCTAAATATGAGGCTCGTTTATTAAATGAGCTCGAGCCGAGCTTTAATTAATGGGCTCGCGAGCCTAAACGAGCCTCTCTCTCTCTCTCTCTCTCTCTCTCTATATATATATATATATATATATATATATATATATATATATATATATATATATATATATATGCACACACACATACATACACACACACACCCACACACACACACACACACACACACACATATATATATATATATATATATAGACACACACACACACACATAGAGGCTCGTTTAGGCTCGATTAGGCTCGCGAGCCCACTAAATTATTCATGAGCCGAGCTCGAGCTTCATTTTAAGGCTCGAATCGAGCTCGAGCTTCCTCAAATTAAACGAGCCGAGCTCGAGCTTTGTCAGGCTCGGGCTCGGCTCGGCTCGTTTACACCCCTATCTATGCTCTGTGTTCGATGCGTTGGTAGGCACAAAAGATTCTAAATAGACTTGACTAGAAAGAGCTGAATTTAAGGAATCCAAGGACTTGACAAATCATGAACTAGTTAGATCCGTTTAGATTGACAATACGACGCTCGGATAGGTTGAGCAGGGAGATATATATGGGAATCTACTAGTCACATTAAAAAAACTCGTATCTAGAACTGTGGATTAACTTTTCCTCGATGTGCGGATTCTGTCCTTAATTCCGTTATTGATAGGGTGACTGGGGAATTCCGATAAGTTAGATTTGTAGAATGTTATTTTCTTTCTGTCTGTCTTTTAGTCATATGTTGCCTCATCTGGGTGATCGAGAGATCCGACCTAGACTGTAACATATACAACTCTATCTCTCTGCATCTTATATCTATTCAAATTCTTTATATCTGTTAGCCATATATTGTCTCCTTTGCGTGACTTACAATCCGACCTGGTAAATAGTATATGCATCATTCTTTTTCTTAATCCCTCTAAAACTTCAGTTAGTCATATGTTTCACCCTCTGCGTGATTGGAAGAGATCCGACCATCGTGTGTAGCATATGCATTCTAAATCTATTTTTTCTCTCAATAATTGTCTGCTCACCCAATGTAAGGAGTATTCTGGAAGTCCTTGATTGCTGGAGCACATCAGAAAGCGGGGAACATGTTCTAGTACAATTAAAATTGAACAATTGCAGATTGTCTGTAGATCTCGTTGCTCAATTTAGGCGGACAACAATATCCTTGGTCGTCGTCAGATAAATGGTCCCTAAGAAATCTATTTAAGAATATAGGATCAAAATGTCGTGCCATTATTAGTCTGTCCCGATTCATCAAAAATTCTTCATGCTTAAGTGGACCACAATACCAGCGATCGATCGGTCATGGACATGAAGGTAGAAGTACTGACAAGTGGACTAAGGCTGTCTAACAACTTTGATTACAGTGTCACAAAATTACTTTAAGCATTTGTTAAGATAAATTCAATCTTATTTTAATTTAATCTATTTTTATTTTTAAAATTATCGAATTTTTAAACTATTAAATTTTTCGAAATTATTTTATTTTTAGTTTAATTTTAATTTTATTTTTTAAATCCTCAAAAGTTTTGTTTTTGAAAATATTGGGATTTGGACTCTGATTTATACTGTGTAGAAGACAGGTAAAAACTTGAACAGGGCATATAAGGAGAGTTTATAGCCAAAAACTCTCTCATTCCTCATTTCTTCTGTTTCCTGCCGTAAACACTCCCATTTTCTCTCTCCTCTCGAATTTTTTTCTTTGTTATGTGAAATTGCTCGGTTAAACTCAAATGTATGGTAAAAACGACCGTGGGAATGTATTTTGTTCTTCAAATCGATGGTTTTTGGAGCTTTAATCGAAGGAAAAAGTTGTTTCGGCGTTTACGATCAAAGCTTACGGCCAAGGAGTTTACGGTCGTAAACTCCGTTTGCGGCCATAAGCTTACTGTCATGGGTTTACGGCCGTAAATCCTTAATTGACCATAAACTCAAATTGACCAAAATTTGTTTTTGGGCCAAAATTCAATTGATTAAATAAGAAAACTGAATTCATTAATTGCTCAAATATCCTTGTTTTCTTACTTGGCTTGTTTTAGTGCAGATAAAATGTCAAACTTGAAGTTCGCTGACATGCATAACTTGGCAATTGTGTTGGATGATCCTCTTGCTGTTTATGGAGAATTCAGGTTAATGATTCACAGGCTGAGGGAATGTTGCTTGGTGTCTGCCATCACTGTGAACCCCATGGTTTTTCAGAATATCATTAGGGAGTTTTGGAGAACTACTAAACTAAATACAGATGATGATGGAACAGTCAATGTTGAAGCCGTTGTGAAGGGATGCAAGGTCGTCATTACTGAACAATTCATCAGGGAAACTCTGTTAATTGATGATCAACATGGTTTCCACACTGAGATAGGAATTGAAGATGCTCAGAAAGTTCTCAAGAAAGTGGGATACGAAGGAGTCTTTCCTCCCACTGTGAAAAAGCTTTTACCTCCATACTAGCGATTCTTGGCTCACGTGTTTGTA